AATATGGTTCACGGTGGACATTGCCTCGCATTTCGCAGGCCTGCGAGTGGACTGCGGCGGCAGGCGAACCCCATGCAGAGAGGTAGTCAACATAGATCGGCCTGGTAACAAGGAGGGGTGAGCCCCACTGACCCCGCTCCTAGTGGGGGACAGCAATCGGCTTGCACCGTGCCTGCCTCCCCGTGTCTTACCCCAGTCTTTCGCAGGCGACAGCCTCTTTCCTATATTTCTGCGGCTGTTTGATGCGCCCTACCAGAACGCGCGGCATTCTCAGGCGCTGCAACCGTGAACCCCCGCTTCGCTCTCGGCACAGCAGCATTTGGATGCCCCCCGCTGCTGCTCCCACGCCAGTCACCCATAGTGAGCTGCAGGTCTCAGGCGATGGTGCCCCCCCTTCGCACAGAGGCTGCCCGCCTGGAGTGCCTGAACTGGCCCCCCATCGAGCCGCTGGTCTCAGGCGGCGCACTCCCTGAGTCGCGTGCGCGGAGGGCCCAGGCTGGCCACCCCCCCCGGGTAGCTTGGTATGCCACCGTCCCCGCTGGTGTACTTCATCGGCGGAGGATTCGAGACGGTGCCGTGCGCTAGCCTGGCTGAACTCGTGGCTTGCCCCTTCGTGGCTCGCCGTGGGAGCGATCTCCGGCGGGCCGCGCGGTCCCGGAGCTGGCCTGGCGGATGGTGCCTGCGTGCTGGACGCGCGCTCGCCCCCCATGCTTGCGGCCCCTCTGTGACGGTGAAGCTGCCCGCCTCGTACTAGCTCGGGTCAGCCTTGCTACAAGTTCCAGTCGTTCGGCAAGGGGCGGTCGTCTCCCACCCAGTGTGAGCGTGAGCCGCGGCTTGCCCTCTCTTCCGTTTCGCCTCGTTTCCCCTCCTTTTCCGTTCGTGCTCTTTCATCTCCCTCCTTGGTTGTTCGCTCTTTCGCCTTCTTCCTTTGTTTTCGTTCGCACTCGCCCCTGCCGCGTTGCCGCTGCGATTCGCCTGGTTGTTCCCCGCGTGCTCAGTGGGGTTCATGTTTTCTTCCAACCCGCGCCGCACCCGCGTCTCACACCTCCTCCTCCTCCTCCCCCTCCTCTTCCTTCCTCCCTCACCCGCGGCGCAGCACAGCGCAGCACATCAAAGCACGCACGTACAGGCATACACACACATACAGACAAACACAAAAACACACAGCATACAGCACAGCACAGCACAGCACAGCACAGCACAGCACAGCACAGCACAGCACAGCACAGCACAGCACAGCACAGCACAGCACAGCACAACACAGCACAGCACAGCACAGCACAGCACAGCACAGCGCACACATACACACATACACACATACACACATACACACATACACACATACACACAAACACACAAACACACAAACACACAAGCACACACACAGCACACCGCACACAGCATAGCACAGCAAAGCACAGCACAGCACAGCACAGCACAGCACAGCACAGCACAGCATGCACGAATCATGCCCACGTGCTTCGTGGGGTTCTGGTTTTCTTCCCCATGTTTCGGGGGGTTCTGGTTTTCTTCCCTGCCGCGTCCCACCCGCGACGCTCTCTCACTCACTCACCTCCCTCTTCCCCTCTTCCCTCTTCTCCTCTCCTCACCCACGCGCGTCGCACCCGCTGCTCTCACCTCGTGGCCATGGCGCAGGGCGTGGCAAGTGTGGCACTTTCTCGATCTCGTGGGGGGTGCGCAGGGGGTGGTTTCCGAGCGCGGCGTCTATGCGGGCCATGGCGCAGGGCGTGGCAGGTGCGGCACTTTCCTCACCCTGTAGGGGGTGCGCAGGGGGTGGTCTCTGGGCGCGGCGTCTATGCGGGCCATGGCGCAGGGCGTGGCAGGTGTGGCATTTTCCTCACCCCGTAAGGGGGTGCGTTTGGGGTGGTCCCCCAGCGCGGCGTCTATGCGGGCCATGGCGCAGGGCGTGGCAGGTGCGGCACCTTCCTCACCCTGTAGGGGGTGCGCAGGGGGTGGTCTCCGAGCGCGGCGTCTATGGTGGCCATGGCGCACGGCGTGGCAGGTGTGGCACTTTCTCGACCTCGTAGGGGGTGCGCAGGGGGTGGTCTCCGAGCGCGGCGTCTATGCGGGCCATGGCGCAGGGCGTGGCAGGTGGCACTTTCCCGATTTCGCAGGGGGTGCGCAGGGGGTGGTCTCCGAACGCGGCGTCTACGCGGGCCATGGCGCAGGGCGTGGCAGGTGTGGCACTTTCTCGACCTCGCAGGGGGTGCGCAGGGGGTGGTCTCCGAGCGCGGCGTCTATGCGGGCCATGGCGCAGGGCGCGGCAGTCACGGCATATTCTAGACACCGCCAGGGGTGCGCAGGGAATGGTCCCCGAGCGGGGCGTTTATGCGGGCCATGGCGCAGGGCATGGCAGGCGCGGCATATTCTCGACACCACAGGGGGTGCGCAGGGGTGGTCCTCGAACGCGGCGTCTACGCGGGCCATGGCGCAGAACGCGGCCGCAGCAACATTTCCTCCACAGCAGGACTGTAAACGCTCTGGCTTGAGTTGAACGCGCGACACGTTTTGGCTTCCGCGCCGCGCCGCCGGGGTCTCTGCGCTGGTGTGGCGCAGATTTCCTTCCAACGAGATGCCTCCAACATCATTCTCGCATGCTCCACTTCAGCTATCATCACTCCAGCCATAATATAAGTATGTAGGTTTCCTCGGTAGCGTAATTTTCGCCGCCATCGTGGCCTTCTTTTCTTGCGTTTCGCTTGCGACAGTTGCGCTGTGCGCCATGGCTCTGTGCTGTTCGACCCTTTGACGGTGCGCGGCTGCCTCCGCGTCACTCGCAATCAAAAAGTATCCCCACCAGCCCATCCGGGAACAATGCATAGGGGGGCTGCCTTTGTTGGGGGAGCGCGGTATCATTTGGATGCCTCGGAGAACCTCAGTGAACCAGAGGCCTCTTGGATGCATCTCGGCATCGCTTGGGATGTTTCCTGGGGGGCTCTTTGTGAGAGGCGTCTTGGGGGGCCACTTGGAGGCTCTTGGGGGCCTCCTGGGGCGTCTTGGGGGCGTATTGGGGGCCCCTCGGGTGCCTTTCTGGGGTTTCTTGGGGCCTTCGTGTGGCCCTCTTGGTAGCCTTGGAGGCCTTCTCGGGACCATCTTGGAGGACATCGGTTGAAGAAGAGGGGGTCCTCAATTAGCGTCGCACCTCTAGGGCCCCTAAAATTGCCTCTTTGGGCTCTCTTTGGATGCTCGTTGGGCGCTCTTGGGGCGCTCTCGGGGCCATCTTGGAGCCCTCTTCGGCCCCTCTTGGGGCCATCTTGAGGCCTCGGGAAGTCATCGGAAGCCAAAAGGCGAGAATGGCAAACACGATTGGGTCCGTCTTGGAGCGGTCTTGAACCATCTAGGAGGCCATATTGGGCTATCTGGGGCCCTCTTGGAGCCATCTTGGGCCATGCCGGGCGCTCCAGTCGGTCGCCGCCCCCCAGTTCCAGACCCAGGGGTAGGGGGTAGGGGGAGGTGTCAAGACTCCCTCCCCGCCCGCATGCCGTCTCGCTCACCCCCACCCGCCCTCCCAACACATACGAAGCACCCGAACCTGGCCCGAACCGCAGCATATGCACCAGTCGTCTTTGGATGGCCAGCTACTGGGGGCCAATCCGCCGCCGCCGCCGCCTCCGCCGCCGCCGCCGCCGCCCGCCGCCGCCGCCGCCGCCGCGCGCCGCGCCGCCGCTGCGCCGCGGCGCCACGCGCTGCCCGCCGCCGCCGCCGCCGCCACCGCCGCCGCCGCCGCGCGCGCCGCCGCCCCAACCGCTGTCGCCGGCCGCCGCGCCGCCCGCCGCCGCCGCCGCCACCGCCGCCGCCGCCGCCCGCCGCCGCCGCCGCCCCGCCGCCGCCGCCGCCGCCACCGCCGCCGCCACCGCCGCCGCAACCGCCGCCCCCGCCGCAGCCGCCGCCGCCGCCGCCAAGTGTACTCTGTAGTGTTTTTGACACGGATGGCGAATTTGGAGGCAGAGTGTGTGTTTGTAGGGTTTTTTGCTAGGGATGGTGTGTGGGGGGCCCTCATTGGCTCGGGTTGGCTCCCAGTCGCCTGGGGGAGGGGGTGTATACTAATAGGGAACAGTGATCAACACATTCCTCCCAAACGCAAGCTGTTTGGCTCAGTCCCACCCGCCCTCCCAAGAGATACCTAGTACCCGAACCTCAGAATATTCAGTTGTCGTCTTTGGGTGGGCGGCTTCTGGGAATCAATCCACGCCCTAGGTGTGCGACGCTGGGACGAAGTGCGCCACACGTGCCAGGCGCACCACGCGTGCCAGGCGCGCCAGGCGCCCCTGGGGCCCAAGCCTGCCAGGCACACCTGGCGCGCCACATGCGCCATGTCCTCCACGTGCGCCAAGTGCGCTGCATGCTCCAGCCGCGCCAGGTGTGCCACGTTCGGGGCACGCGCAGGGTGTGCTAGGTGCGCCCGCTCACATCGGAAACATGTCGGCCCCCACTATCTTTGTCGAAAGACAACGCGCAAACGCGGCGGAGTGGCCATCATGATATCTGGTGGGCCTGCACACAGCATGCAGCATGCCAGCACCCCCGCCGTCCCTGATAAAAGTCACTGCGAAGTGATCGTGGGGTGCCCGCGCACGATCCAGATTTAGCCGCGAAGTGCAGTTTGCATGGTTTTTTGACAGGGGTGGTGGCCCTGCGCACAGCAGGCCAGTGGCTGGCACCCCCTCTGCCCTTGTCCGAACACGGTACAAAGTGCCCACGGCCCCCCCGACACATGACCCAATATTGTGCCGCAAAGTGCGCTGTGCGGTGTTTTTCGGCAAGGATGGCGGGTGGGGGGGGGCGCATTGTCCTGGGTTTGCCACTGGTCGGTTGGGGGATGGAACGTCTATTCATAGTGTACTGAGCAGGGATGAGCCCCTCACCGAAAGGGAAGAAAGGGGGTTGGAAGCGCCCTAAGCTACACACGTCCTACAGGGCTGGAGGGATTCTGAATCGTTAGATACCGCATAAGGGGGCCCAGGACGCTACCCTTCCAGGGCTTTGATGATATACAACGTGAACGAGACCTGCCCAGTCCTCTTCTCGCGGCATCCTGATCCGGGTCTTGTCCTGTGCCTGTGCGGCGCTCTCCTCTGCTGCGTGCTGGGCCCCGGGCTCTGGCTGCACATCTCAGGGGGGGCACGTCGATGTCTGCTTGTCCTGCTCGTTCTCGCGCTTCTCATTTCAGCAGGGGTACCTCGCACCGCCTGTACCGCCTGGCCCCCTGGTGTGTCAACTGTGGGGAGTGTCACCAGGGGGATGGCCCCGCATATGAGCGACGCGACAAATCGGGGTCGTCTGCGCCGACATTGGCGCGTAAGCTGCCCGCGTAGGGTCGCGCGTGAGAGCCCTCGTCTCCAATGTGGCGTGCCGCGCGACAAGGTCGCGGCGTAAGGTCGCCACGGCATCTCGCGTGAGGCCCGCTTCTGCTCGTCGGTCGTCTGGCCCCTCCACAGGCATCCCACCTGCTGCGGAGGGGCCACGTGCGGGCGGGGTGCAATACGTGCGAGCTGAGGATCCACACCGCGCACAGCACTGCACGAAGTGATGTTTGGGGCGCACGCGGCCCATCGCGCCGAGCGCGCGTCGCGGCACGACGTTGCAGAAGGACGCTGCGTGGAGCGGCATGCCCACGGTGAGGCGGCACACGCCGCCATCGACGTCCAGTGCCTCCTCCTGGTCCTCCTCTTCCTCCTTCTCCTTCTCCTCCTCCTTCTCCTCGTCCTCGTCCACCACCTCCTCCGCCTCCTCCTCCTCCTCCTCCTCTTCGTCCTCCTCCTCCTCCTGCTCCTCCTCCTCCTCCTCCTCCAGATGGCCTCTTGGGGTCTCCAGGGGCTGCCAGGGTCGATGCCGCGAGGCCCCCCTGAGGCCCCCAGGAATTCCCAGTGGCCGTCCCGGGGATCACCAGAATGGGGGTAGCGCTAGGACGTGGTGGAGGACGCCGCGAGCCCGTCCATGTGTGCCGCCCACCGCCTGCTTCCTGGGGCCTCGAGGATCTCCAAGGGGCCTCCGCGGAGCCTCCGCGGAGCTGCAGGGGCCTCGAGCACGGCCCGCGCGTGGCGACCATCCCCCCCCCCAAACCCAGGCGACGGCGTAAGGCTGCTCACCTGTACCGCCCCGTACCCTCAGGCGCCCCCCCCCCCCCCTGCAAGAGGGCTGTGCGGGACCGGCCCGCGCGGGGAGACCAGGCCCCCGTGCGCTCAAGAGCTTCGCGCCTGCAGGCCTCCACTTCTCGCACCCCGTCCACCACTGCTGCCGCGGGGGGCCTCGTCGTCGCCACGGCCGCGTTCGCTTCGAGGATATGGTCGTGGCGCCGCTCGGGAGAAGCCAGGGAGCACTTGTTGCTCGGAGCTGAACCTGGTCGGAGAAGCGTTCCTTTGCATCCGGGGTGCGAAGCCATACCGAACTGGCCCGCATTCGAGGCATGGTGTGCCAGGACGTGTGCTGGCAGGGCTAGGTCCGGTCTGTGCCTCAGGCACAGGAGGAGAATTGAGGAGGAGGAGGAGGAGGAGGAGGAGGAGGAGGAGGAGGAGGAGGAGGAGGAGGAGGAGGAGGAGGGGAAGGAGGAGGAAAAGGAGGAAGAGGAGGGGAAGGAAGGATGAGGAGGAGGAGGAGGAGGAGGAGGAGGAGGAGGAGGAGGAGGAGGAGGAGGAGGAGGAGGAGGAGGAGGGGGTCGATGTGCTCTCCCTGAGTATCACCATGCGCCCCGCGGCCTGGGGCGAGGGGCCCCGCGAGGCGGTCTGGGGGGTTCTGAACCGGCCATACGAGGACTGCGGGACAGAATAGACGAGCAGGGGACGAGCAGCCACGGTCAATCTGCTCGCCTGGTCCCAAACCGACCTCGGAGCTTTCTGGCTACTGGCATTCCGGCCGCCCACCAGGAGAGGCGCCAGTTCTGGGAGGTCGTGATGCTGGCGCGAAGGACCTGGATAGAAGACTTCGGCCAAACGTGAAAATCAACAGAGTTTAACTCCTCGCCTCCATCCACCAGGGTGGAACTCCCCTGGGGGCGAGCACCTCCCTTCACGGGTGAGATTTCCACCGCTGGTGGGCGACCTTTTCACCTCGAGGATTTTTGCGTTTTCGCACAGCCTTGCATTCGGAGGATGTTGCTGGCAGCGGTCGCGGTCCTGTGCCCGATGTCCTATTCACCAAACGCGCATCTGAAGGCGGTGCTCATGATCAACGTTGCGGCGTTGGGTGCGCACGCGAAGGCGTGGCCCTACAAGAAGAAGATTACAGAGGGCATGCCGAAGTATCTCAACATCAACAACATCGAGCTCCTCTCGCTCTTGACGTGCTGCGCCTCCACCATCCTGGCGTCCTACCTCCTCGAGGACGCTTGGACCCACGAGGAGTCCCTGGACCTCGCGGTGATGGGCTCGTCCATCGTTCTCATCCTGGCCTTCTCCACGCTGCTGGTCGGCCTGCTCCTCTACACGGGGGCCAACAAGCTGCGGGCGTAGGCGCTGCCAGGAGGAGAAGGACGAGGAGGAGGAGGAGGAAGAGGAAGAGGAGGAGGAGGAGGAGGAGGAGGAGGAGGAGGAGGAGGAGGAGGAGGAGGAGCGAAAGGAGAAGGAGGAGCATGAGGAGGAGGAGGACTCGAGTCGCGCGCAGCCGTTGCCCGGCCGCCTCCCTCCTCACCTGCTCTCCCTTTCTTTCCTTCCCCTACTTCCCCAACTCCGGGGCCATGGAACGCGACGTCGACCTCGGCGCCGCGCCGGCGACTGGCGCTGCGCCGGATGCGGCGGCGCCCGCCGCCGCTCAGGGGAGGGACGACGACGAGGACGACGAGGAGATGCTGCCAGCGGAGGGCGCAGCTGGCGGAGGCGCTGCAGCCGGCGGAGTCGCTCCAGGGCGCCGCCGTCGTCGCGGAGAGTGGGCCTTGAGCCTGCAGCCCGCCTCCAAACGGCCTGCTGCCTGCAAAGGTTGCGCGATTCCTTTTGAGACGGAAGAGCTGCGCATGTGCCCGTGGGGCAGCCGGCATCGCTACAGCTGGCTTTGCTTGGGATGCGTCTCTGCGAAGGCGGCCCCCGACGATGACATTCGTCCTATGGCCCCTCGTGCCCAGGACGTCCACGTCCAGGAGGCGCGCACGGCGTTGGATTCGGCGGCCGCCAGCCGGAACAGCGACGGCCAGGGGCACGAGCAGGAGCAGGAGCAGTGCAACGCTCCGGTGATGCATCCGGCCTGGGACGAGACGACCCTTCCTGACCGGGCCTGGTGGCAGCGTTTGGCGTGGCAGTCAGCCCTACGCGCGGGGGTCCCCCACATTCGTGCAAGTTCCAGACAGGTTTCGCGGCGCGGTGACGCATGCGAGACGCAAGGCGCTGGAGGTGCTCGAAGAGGCGGGCCAACACGGGGATGCCACACCAGAGTGGAACATGCTTCTGCTGTTCGACTTGGTGCTGTTCGCTCGGCCCCGGGGGGTGGGCCCGACGTGTGCAGAGCTACTGGAAGAGCGGCTGGCGTTATGGTGGGGCGGACAGTGGGCTCAGCTGTGGGCTTCGGCCACGAACGGCCCACCCCCGCGAGCGCCACCAAGGAAGACAACCGACAAGCAGAAAGCACACCGGGTGCACACTTTGGCTGCGGCTGGGGAGGAATCCCGCGCGCTGGCGGCAGCAGTGCAGGCCGAACTGGCGCCGCGCACGGCTGACACGCTGGAGAAACTGCGGGCGAGCTTCCCGCCAGACGAGCCCGGAGACGGCGCCGGCGCGGCGCCGCGCCCTGCCCCGCCCTCCGCGCCGCCCAGCCCCGAGCTCAGAGAGGAGGCGGAGGAGGAGGTGCGCAAACTACTGCGGCGCCCTCCCCGGCTGGCGGCGCCGGGCCTGCTGGGGACGCGGCTGGAACACCTGGGGGCGAGCGACGGCGAGACGGCGCGGCTGCTCGCCCGGGCTGCCGCGAGGGTCGCCTTCGGGGAGCTGCCGCGGGAGGTCCTCGAGGCGCTGCGCACGGGGGAGCTCGTGGCGCTCGAGAAGGGCGCCGGCGAGGTCAGACCCCTGCTGGTGGGCGCCACGCTCCGCCGCCTGGGGCTGCGCGCGCTGGCGCGGGCGCGGAAGGCCCACCTGACTGAGGCTGCCGGGAAGCACCAGTACGGCGTCGGGCGCAAGGGCGGCGCGAACGTGTTGGTAAAGAGCTTGCAGGCCCTCGCGGAGGCCCGGCCGAACGCGACGTTCATCTAGGTGGACGTCAAGGCCGCGTTCCAACGGATGCGCCGCGGCCCCGCTTTCGAGGCCTTGGACGAAGCTGCCCCCGAGGTGGCGGCGGCCCTGAGGGCCTGGTACCCAGGCCCCGCAGAGCACTTCTGGCGCACGGCCGACGGGCGCTTCGAAACGGTCTGGAGCCGGCGCGGGTTCGATCAGGGAGACCCCTTGTCCCCGGCGGCGTTCGCCGTGGGGCAGCGGCGCGCCCTTGAGCAGCTCTTGCACAGGCTGCAGCAGCTGGACCCAGCCGCCCGCCTGTACTCCTACCTCGACGACTCCTACTTGGTGGTGCGGGCGGGCCTCGGCGCCCTCACGCTGACGGGCCTCCGCGAGGTGCTCGCGCCGCTGGGGCTGGAGCTGAACGACGACAAAACGCTGGTCTGGCCCCCGGCGGGAGTCCAGGCTGTCGAGGCCGAGCTCGCGAGCAAGTGCGTGCCCGTGCTGCCAGTCCTCGGCGCGCAGCTCCGGGCTCCACGAGGCGCCGACGGGACGGCGCTCCCTCTCGGCGGGCAGGGCTGCGGGCTGGACGGGGCCACGGCGCGCCTCGAGAAGCTCTGGGCCAACCTGGAGCGGCTGCTGCAAGGGGGGCTCAAACGGCAGGCGGCGGGCGCGCTGCTCAACACCTACGCCGGAAACGCCAGCCAGCACAACTTGCAGCTGGCCTTGGCCGCGGGGGAGGAGACCTTCCGCTACGACGCCGCGCTGCGGGGCTGCTGGGAGAGGCCGCTGGGGCGGCCGCTCGGGCCAGAGGCGTGCGAGCTGCTAGGCCTGCCGGCGAAACTCGGAGGGGCCGGTGCGCAGTGGGCGGCCACGAGGCGGGCGCCCGCCTGCTGTGCGGCGTGGACGCAGGCGGCGGAAGAAGTGCGGGACGCCCTCGGTGTCTCAGGAGTCTCCACTCTTGCAGACATGCTGGCGGCGCTGCCGCAGGCCGCTGCCGCGCTCGACGCGACCCGGGCTGAGCTGGCGCGCCACGGCGCGGACCCCGAGCAGGCGGCGCCCCTGGAGGTCTTGCTGGGGCACCCGACAAAGCAGAAGACCTTGGTTGCTATGAAACCCACGCTGCTGCGAAGCGGCGAATGCATCACTGCAGCCAAGCGTCGCTGCTGTCCGCGGGAAGGCCCAGGGCCGGCGCCTACCTCCAGTATCCCACGGAGCTGGCCTGCGCGCTGGAGGACCCGCACTGGCAGACGGCGACCCGCAGCCGCGTCCAGCTGCCAAGGCCAGAATGCTCCAGTCGAGCTCGCGCGAGCTGCGGCGACGTGCCAAGACCTGACGGCCGGCAGAAAGCCGTGCCAAGCGCCGCTGGATCTGGCAGGAGTCCACGCCGCCGTTTATTAGCCAGGCGGAGGCGTCGTCAGGCGGCACGCGGGCGTGGCGCGCGCCGCGGGAAGCCTCAAGCAGGTGGTGCCACTGCTTGCTTCTGTACGAGCAGCGGGTGCCCACCTGGGACAGGGCCCGCGAGCCGCGGCGGGGCCAGGCGCAGGTACAGGAGCGGGCTATCTTGGACGTCGAATATGACGACCTCGACGGCCAGCGGTGGCTGGACGTGACTGTCCGCCACCCGGCGGCAGGCGACGAGCCTGCCGTGCGCGCGGCGGCAAGGCGCGCGGGCGAGGCGGCCCGCCGGACCGAGCGCGCGAAACACACCCGCTACCCTAGGGAGCGCCTCACGGCGTTCGCCGTGGAGACGGGCGGCCGGCTCGGCGAGGAGGCGCGGGCCTGGCTGCTGGCGCTGGCCGGGCGCCCTTAGGACCTCGCAGCAGGAAGAACTGCGCGAGCCTACGAGTGCTTCAGCACATAAGTCAAACAGCTGTGCGCGCTTGCAGCGGGAGCTGGCCCACCAGCTGCGGCGCGGCGGGGCCGGGCTGAGCGCTGAGGCTGCCTCGGTCGGGCCGCGGCCTAGGCCTGCGGCGTGCTGCTGGGCGCTGCCGCCGGCGGCTGCTGCTGCGCGGGGGCTGAGGGCTCTGCGCTGCTGGGCAATGCTGCTGGGCTGGCTCGGGAGCGGCGGGCCGCGGGCCGGCGGCGCGGCGGCGGGCGCGCTCTGGCTCGGCGCTGCGGCGTGGCAAGGGCGGGCGCGGGCCTGCCTGGGCGGGGAGGCTACGCCGGGCGCTCGGAGGAGCAGGAGGGCGAGCTGGGCAGGGGCGCCTGGCTGCTGCCGGAGCTGCTCGGGCCGCGGGCGGCGGCAGGCGGGCGCGGGGCAGGCGCGGCGGCTGCTGCCGGCGGCGCGGCAGGCGCCCGGCGCAAGCTGGCGGCGGGGCGACGGCTGGTGGCGCGGCGGCCCGCGGCGGCGGCGCGGGGGCGTCCGGGGCGGCTGCGGCGCTGCGGGGCCGAGCGGCGCCTGGCGGTGGGACCGCGCTGGTGCTGTGCTTCCTGGAGGAGGTGTGGCGCCTGGCGGTGGGACCGCAGGCCGCAGGCCATCGGCGCCAAGCTCCCGTGTAAGCGAGGTATAGGCCCCGGTCGGCGCACCCCCTCGGCTCTGAGGCTTGCATGCCGCTGAGCGGTGTGCTTGTCCTGGGGTTGGGGGGTTGCGCCGGCTCCCGACCACAGTGCTTCCGGCGCGCGGCAGACCCGCGTCCGCCGGAGGAGGAGGAGGAGGAGGAGGAGGAGGAGGAATGGACAGGAGTCCCTGCAAGAGGCAGGCAGCCGCCCACGGCAGATGGCCATGCCTCAGCCGATCGGCAGACGTAAAAAACTGGCCAAGGGCCACAGCGTGCGGGGCGCACTGCCGCGCCCGCGCAACAGCCCCGACAGGGTCCGCCCCCCCCACCCCGGTCGGAGGCGGGAGCCGCCCGCGCGGGCCTGCGCGCGGCTACTCTGCCTCATCACGCTCGGAGTCGGAGTCGGAGGAGGAGCGGAGGAGGAGCTGAAGAGGAGCGCAGGGAGGAGTGGAGGGAGGAGGGGAGGGCAGTGCTGCTTGCCAGGCTGTGACACGGATTCTGCCTTTCGAGGCCAGCCGTTTCATTGACAAGAAGTGCGTGCCACAACATGTGCAGGGTCGTCCCGCTGGTATCCAACAGTTGTCGACCAGTGTGGAGGGCGAAGTCGCTTCCTACGCCGAACTTGTTTTGAGATTCCGTCGTCTGGGTTGCAGCTGGCGTTTGACCAAGCTAGCCTTTTCATTGTATACGCCGCTTGGCAAGCGTACCAAGATATTCAAGCGATTTCGAAAGATTCTCCGGAACGATGTCCACGATGCTTGCGGACTGTGAGCTGCCCTTGCTACCCTCGTGCATGTGTAGCGCTCTGGCTCGGGGTTGCGTCCTACAGGGACGGCGCGGCGCGCGCAGCAGAGGGGAGCTCATGCTTAACCCGCGTCCCTGCCCCTTGAACTGCCAACA